TTTCCTTCTCTCTCTCCCCTTCATTTTAATTCCAAACAAACATTAATATTGCCTTTTCCGGCATAAAAAAAAACAATAATTATAAGGAAACAGGGACAAAGAAAAATTGGCTCTCCATTACTACCACTTTCAGTTTCCTAGCTCACACTAAAAATTTAACCAAAGTAATTAACTTCTTCTTTCCTACCTGATCATCTCTGCAAAATTCTTACATCTAAAACTAACCCCCCTTTCGTTGTGGAAAACCCTAACAAATATCTTTCTCTTTTGCTTTTTCTTTCTCTTTTCTCCAAGTTGTTTCACCGACACTAGAGCAAAGATTCGAACTTATGTCCTTCAAAGAGAAGCAAAGATAATTACTTACTTGGAGACGAAAAAAAAACTACGGAAAAAAACCTACAAAATCTTGGTCTTTAACTATTGATTTGAGGGTTGGAGAAGGTTTGTATTAAGATTCATGGGTTCCATCTAAAAAACATAAACCAAATATCGAACCTTAACATGTCCCCTCAAGATCGTGGCTCTTTTGGCTCATCAATCTTGACTGGATCCCATATTTGGACCGGATCCTCGTTTGATCTTTTAGGCTCTGATACTATATCAATATTCATGAGGTTTCATTTCAAAATCGATTGATAATGAGAGGAGTAACCCACTTATATTATAAAACATTGTTAAGTTTCATATTTTTCAACGTGGTTGAACCTTCGACTTTTAGGGGACGTTGTTGGTGCATGCGTGAGCTATGCTCAAGTTAGAAACTTGACCGGTTTCGAGCTATCGTCTAAAAATCTAAACCCTAGCTGTTTAGAGAAATGTAACTATGAATGTTTGAGCTGATTTTTGTACAAGGGTTTTTAAGGATTCTTGGTCTGTAGGCATAATAAGTGGCAATCTCCCACGTTTAAGGGCCCGGTTTCTTATCTCTCTTCATAGGACATTCAATTTCACCCACAGCCACCCACTTTTGTCCTCTTTTTCTCTCCCTCTCTCTCTCATTTTTTCAGGAGAAATAGATGAACAGAAGAAATAGAGAGGAGAGGGAACTCAAACTCTTGTGCCCTTGTATCTTCTAATGCATGGAATCAATTGCTCCTCCATCTTCTCTCTTTTCTATGTTGTTAGAAAATGGGAAGCTTTCGATGAACCCAAAAAGCTAAAAATCTGAGTTCAAAATAAAAAATGAAAGATCTTTGAGAGAGGTCCATTTCACTCCACACCAAGAACCAAAAGAAGAAGCAAAAAAGGGGGAAAAATGGCATCTTCAGGCTATAATCTCAACTCTTTTTCTTATTTTCCTCCTTCCACTGCCTCCTATAATCTCCCTCTCTCTCTTCCTTCAATTCTCGGCTGTGACCCTTCTTCAGCGAACAACAATAACTCTACTTTCAACATCCATCAACCCCACCAAGATCCAGTCTCTTTTCTAGCTGCTCCATATTTCCCCATCGGCCACTTCTCGGGAACGTCGATGCCGCCAGAGACCATGATCAACTTTGCGGTCTCGGGGAACAATGTTCAAGCTCTAGGCAACGTCCCGAGTGGACCGACGGGCGGGAAGAAGGATCGGCATAGCAAGATTTACACGGCGCAAGGTTTGAGGGACCGGAGAGTGAGATTGTCAATCGACATAGCTCGAAAGTTCTTTGATTTGCAAGACATGTTAGGGTATGACAAGGCAAGCAAAACCCTAGAGTGGCTCTTTAGCAAATCTAGAAAAGCAATCAAAGATCTTTCAAGGACCAAGCATTTTGGGGTTAATAGTTATGGAGGAGCTAAGAGAATGTCTTTGGATTCAGATGTTGAAGAAGAAGATCAAGAGGAAGAAGAACAAGGAGGAATGTTGAGTATTGATCATAATGAAGAGGAAAAAGTGAGTAAAAAGGTTGAAGTTTTTCATCTTCTTTCTAAAGAATCAAGAGCCAAGGCTAGGGAGAGGACCATGGACAAGAAGCAAGTTGTCGAAAATAATGGCGTCGAGAAAATTTTCGGTCACCGAAAGAGCAGTGGAGAAGAAGTTTCGAATTGTTGGAATAAGCATTTGGATCAGAGTACTGAAACTTCAACTTTGCCGATGCAGGAATCCGTCTTCATGAACAAGAGAAAGATTTGTGCTAAGAAATTCATCGACGACGACAACACGAAACCCGACACCGAAATCTCTCAATGGAAGCTTTTGGATCAGGTCAAGCCTTCAATAGGGCTTTTACAAGAACCCTCCATCACCAAGAGGAAGTGGAGACCTTCCATTATTTCTGGTTCTTCTCAGACAAATCTTCTCATCTCCATTGATGGCCTTCCCATTAACTTAACTCAAAATTGGGATAATAGTAGCAGCAATCCCAATTATCCCTTTCCTAAGTAAATTGGTCTCTTTAGGTAATTTTCCAGCCATCAAAGGCTTAATAGTTTTCTTTTTTTTTTACAATAAAAATTTCTTATTTGTCTCCTTTTTCTCCTTTTGTTTTTTTCTTTTTTGCAGGATTTTAGAGCTTATTGCAAACCCTTTTGACAAATCAAGATCAAATGGAGCCAACAGAATATAAAAAACACTGCCATTTTTATATGGGTTTTTTCTTCAACTACCACTTGAATGTTCATTTTTCCTGCATTATTTAAATCATTAGATCATCATGTTTTGATTTGTCTTTAGTATAACAAATATTGTCTATGTCTCATGCTTATCTTTAAGTAATTTTTTTTTCCATTTGGCTGCCAATGGGAGTTTGAATTATGAATATTTATTGTTGAGGACATATTCAGTGAGTCAAATTGATGAGTTGGCATGAGCATCGAGGAAAAGGGAGTTGAAATTAAATAATTCCTAACTTGAATTTATTAGAAAACCGTGTACCATTGTAATTGGAACATTAATTTGAGTATCTTGATATGTTTGTTCTTGTTTTTGTTTTGAATTCAAAAGTGAAGGATTCCAACATTCGACCTTTAGGATCGATGTATAATTTCTCTGAACCAATTAGCTTCTTGAAAAGTTTGTGGGGGAGTATATCAAATGATTTGATTTGCTACAAATGTCATAGTTCTAAAGTCGTATACGTTATCTAACGATGATTTAACTTGATATCAGAGTACGTAGAAGATTCTTAAGTTTAAGTTTTGCTATTTCTAAGTGTAATGACTTATTAGTTTTACTAAATCCCGTGCTCATTGCTTCGTGTATTGATTTTGTACTTAAATCAGTTATTAATCTCTAACAGATGACATTGAAAATCTTCTTTGTTCATTAGAAGATTAATCTAGTGAAGTAATCACAAATAGGTTGTAAAATGATTACGGGAGGAGTTCGATATGGAGGATCGAAACTCCGACCTCGAGAGGAGTACGCTTATCTTATCTTAATGTTTTTAAATGATTTGGTCCAGTTTGATTTAATTCGATAAAGAATAGATGGAACCAAGCCAAACCAATGAAAAAATAGGTAAATGTGTTTTTAATGATTTGGGGTACTCGGGTTTGAACCTCCAACCTTAACAGAAGAAGTAGATGCCAATTACTTATGAGCTAGGTTTATGTTACCATTACTATTCACATGTTAATATATTTTATAACCAATTTTTACCTATCACCTTTAATTAACTAAACTTCCAAATAGAAGTAAGAACTTTTATAAAACAATCGATTTTTTTTTACCAACTATGAAAAAAATAAAATCGTTCAATTTTACTTCCTTCTTCAAAGAATATAACTACAATTTCAATGATTTGATAAAAAAATCAAGCGGAAACATAAAGCCCCTTTTCGTCGCTGAAGACCTTCAACGATAGCGTTTCAGCGATATTTCTTGTGACGAAAGCGTTTGCGACGTAAAAAGACCTTTATTTAATTTTTGTAGTGAAACCAGATAGAGACCTTTATTTAATATCAAAAGTTGCTCTAAAACCACTCTCATAGTAGCTGGAATCAGTGCCTACTATTTATAAGAATTTATAGTCAATCTGATGAACCATATAATCTGGAAGGTAGTTTTAAATGTTGATATGTTGTAAATGTTGAGGTATCAATTTTATGAGAATATATATGAAAATATCGAACAAATGAGATGTCCGTGAATATTTCTAGAAAAATATAAAAATAAAAAATTTATAAGAAATATTTAAAATAACAAATAAATATTCAACTATTTTTAGATAAGTTGAAATTTATTATATTAATATTATGTCTATATTATTGATATTTTGTTGATATTTTTATGTTTTGTCGATTTCTTTCCGATACTATGGAAATGTCACTCAATTCATCCTTAGCTCATGTCAATGTCGAACTTCATGCACATGTAAAAATGTTGATGAAATTTAATACTCTGGTATTTTCTTCAGTTCACGTTTTCGTACTTGAAAGACCAAAATTCATTCTAAAAACCATTTTCATACAAGTTAAAAAGAGTTTACAAAATTGTGCCAAATCATGAAACTTTTGTCTCTTATTAATTACTAGCTATTTGTCTCGTATAATTCTAAAAGTTAGATGTTCAAATCCCCACTCCCACATTATTACACTAGAAAACCAAACTCTTATTACTTACCAAAAGGAAATACGACAAACACAAACTAACAAGTTTGGCCCTAAGAGTTTATAAATCGATCCAAAATCTCAATCCAAGCTTGAACTAAAAGAGCGCTTTAAAGAGAGTATATATTTTTTCTTTTTACGAGTTTACTAAGGACGAGCGATTTGAACCTTTGATTTCTAGTAAAATCAGAGGATACAGACAGTTTCACTTGTCAAGTGGATTGATTCATTTTCCATACCCTTTGTATTTTGCATAAGAGAAGAGGTTCAAATCAATGCATCCTTCAACTATAAAAGAGGGAGAGAGATTAAAGGATCTAGGTGATTAGTAGGGCATAATATGACGGTGATTATTAGATAATGATGGATAGTTAATTAAACGAGGAACATTAATAAAATGAAAAAGAGGAGAGAGGAGAAAGAGGAGTAATTTGAATGGAATGTAGTAGAGAGAGAGAGAGAGAGAGAGAGAGAGAGAGAGAGAGAGAGAGAGAGAGTAGGGGTAGGTGTGGAATTTGATTTGATTGTATGGCCAATCAGCTCATTTGCTAAAGCCCTTTTGAAGGGGAGGCCCCATCTCCAAAACCTTTAATTTGTTTACCTCTATGAAATGACTTGCAATTCAACCCCTTCCTAAAGATATTCTACATCTCTCTCACTCTCTCCAAAAAGACAAAAAAGAGAGAGACATGTGGATTGAAATTTACTTCTAATTCTTCTCCCCTAGTAGAACTTTAGAGGTTTTTGTTCTTTTAGGAACTGACGATGTTGAGTGAGGATAGGTGGGGTTGGGGATCGAGCTCTTCTCGATCACTATCATTCGGGGTGAAGATTCGAATCTTCGGTCTTTTAGTCGAGGTATGTCCTTAACTAATTGAGTTATTTCATATTGGCACCTTTTTCTTTTTAATTTTAGGAAATACCAAAGGTTTGAAAATTGTTAGTTTGGAAAATGAATTATTCTATTCGGGGCCACTTTTTTTTCTGTGTCTTTCAAATTTTAGGAAATACCAAAGGATCGAAAATTGCTAGTTAGGAAAATGAGGTCATGACAACAACATTAACTGCACTGGGTTGGGGGCAACTTTTTTTCTTTGCATTTTTTCTTTTATAATCGAAAATTACTAAATAGATGTGAATTACAAATCTTTAAGTTAATTTTTTTTTTTGCATTATTAATCTCATAGAAGTATTATTTAGGGAAAAGTTTATCCCTAAAGTAATAAGATCCCGGTAAGTCAAGTTGGTCGGTGATCCCAAATATAGAGATGAAGAATTGAACCTCGACCTTAAGAGAAGAAGTAAGATGCTTAGCTAGTTCATACTTATACCCTTGTTGAAATTATTTTAAGAGAGAATGAAGTATAAATAAAAATGAGAAAATTACAACAACTGTAGGGTTGCTATATATTTATAACATCGTTCAATTTGATCAATCACCCCACAAATTTTATGAAATTTTCAAGTAAAATGCACAAATTAGACCACCTATGAACCATAAAGTTTATTACGATAAATATATCATATTATAGAATTGTTACAATTTAACTCAAATTTTTTAATTCTATAAAAAATTTAAAAACTATAATATTAACCATTATAAAATTTGTTTTCAAGTCGATGCTGAATCGACATTCTTGATTTAAGAAAACTAAAAAGTTGATGTAAAAAAAATTGGGTTTGATATAGTTTAACAATCATATAGTTCAAGTGTTTGATTGCAACAATACTAATAGTTTAGGGATGGTTTGTGCATTTTGTACTATTTAAAGGTTTAATTGTAACAATTTTACAACTGTAGGGATGATGGATCAAATTGAAAATTCAAGTATGTGACTGTAATAACCCTTGTAGTTCAAGGGTAGTTGTTGGGAATGCGATCAAACTCTTTCACTCTCTTTTTCTTTATTTTTTTTTAGTGAGATTAGTCGAGGTGTACGTAAGCTTGACCCAAACACTTACGGATAACAGAAAAAAAAAGGTCAAAATTGCACTTAGTTAGATAAAATGAAGATTTATATGTTAGGATCTCACATTGATAAGATAAGGACCTAATTAACAAAGGTTTGCAACAGGCATGAACTACTTTCCCATTGCCAAATGAATATTGATACTATGATTTATAGAGGAGAGATAACATTTTTATTGGTACAAGACATTTTGAGTCATACCTAGTAAAAATTAGCTTAATTATAGGGCTCATATGCTCAAAGTGGACATAATATTATACCACGGAGAGTGCATTGTATTTGATAGCCATTTGTGTTTTTAGTTTTATATTTCAAAAAAAGATTAAACCTTATTTTGATCCCTCAAATTTCCCTACTTATTTTATTTTTTTGGTCTAATGTTTTGTTTTGTTTCTAAACTTTGCATGAAAAATAATTTTAGCTATTTTCGTAAGTTCATTTTTCATTCTCGCTATTTAAAATAAATTTAAAAGTATGTTTAGAAGTGATTTTAACCTAGCTAAAATCACTTTTGTTATTGAAAAAATCTCATTGCTTTAAACTGATGATGTTTGGCAAACGGATAAAATTAATCTTGAGAAAAATCTAAAATCATTTTAGAGTGATTTTTGAAGTATTAGTTCGTAGGTACTTTTTTGTTGAAATGATTGAAAATTACTTCTAATGATATGAAAATCACTTCAAACAATCAATTTGAGTATATAGTTCAACTGATTAAAGAGTCTATTTCAAACTAAAAAGTCGTGAGTTGAAATCTCACAATTTATGACAAATTACGAGTGCAGCATAAATTAAACCCAAAGCTGGGATCAGAGGATGAGATATAATGTTTGCAGGTTGATGTGTTTTTTCTTTCACCGATTCCCAGGAAACAAACAGAAAATTTTCGTGCCAAAATTAAAGCCATTGCACTGATATGATTTGAGACATTATGATATTTCTGTAAATCACCATATGTATTCTCCAAAAAGTTTCCTATAAAAAAGAGAGAGGGAGAGAAAACATGGTAAAACCAGACAGAAACCACAGCATGCAGACGTATGCAAAGCTACCATGAAAGAGATATGTGAAATGAATCAATCTAGAGAGAGAAAAAGAGAAGTAGAGAGAGAGAGAAAATGTTACGTTGGAAGAAACAAAATGAGGATCGGACAACTAGAAAAAGAGAAACTATACGAGGCGTTTGGAGTGCAGGTTCAACGTTCAAAGAGTTGTACAAAGTTCGGTAAAGCATTCACTTGTCAGTTGTATATCGACTTGTGTCGAGAAACTTGAAACTCTTTTAGAATTGTATGGTCCATTTAATTCCTGTATTTTAAAATTTTTTTCATAGGTTTTGTAAATTTCAAAAAGTTCTAATTTATTCTATAAACATTTAATCTCGTTTCTAATAAGTCTTTGAATATTAAATGCGTCGGATTAAAAGCCTATAATATTTAAGAATTAAGAATTATGTAATGGACTAATGTTCGGTAGATTTGAATGATGAGTGGTGCAAGCGTATGTTAAATTACCTAATAGAATTTTTCCAATAGTATATAATCTGAACAGACATAATCCCAGAAAATTAGAAACCTATTCGAAACCTCTGACTTACCTTTTGATCCTAAGGGCAATAGAAAAGTTTGACTTGAAAGATTGAATCACACCAGGTAATTAAAAATGCTAGCTTCCAAAATCGGAAAGCAACCGATCCTGAGAAAAGGGTACCGAAGAAAACGCATACATTTTCTCATGGAAGAACCTAATTGAACTGGATCAAGGATCCTAAACCGAGTCCTGCCCTTGCAACGCTCTTTCATTTAGCGAGATAGCTCACTAGGTCTTTACAAACTTATAATTTTAAACTAAATCAATGGTGTAAGTGATGAACTCTGACACAAACAATACCCAGTTGGGTTCTTATTTCATCATCTCTCTCTCTCCTTCAATCACAGTGATTCTCTTTCTATAAGATGTAGTCAAACTGCAGAAGCTATATGTATTTGTATTGGAGTAGTGATTGAAATAGGAAATAGGGAGATTTATAAATTTGGTTTTGTAGTATAGGGTAGGGAATGGAGCACCACAGTGGGTGTTTTGTTATATGTCTATGTTCTCCAGGTTTGATCATCAAACATCACCATAACTTATAGCTAGGTTGCAGAAATATCAGATAATACATTAAATATATATATATGTATATATTTGTAGATGTTGAGAGCTTCACCTGTTGCTTTAATCATGAGGAATAGTATTTCTCTTCTGTAAAGATTTGTACTTTCTTATAAAAAAGAAAATTATAATAATGATAACAAGGAAAAGTGAAATGTTGAAGTCAAAGGTGTTGGGTTTGCAAAAGTGTGCAGAGATAGACGAGAACAATTATTTTTATTGGTATAGTTGTCATTCTATTGTAAAGATGAATACTATTGACGTGGATGGAGTATTTTCTTTCTTTTCTTTTCTTTTTTTTTTTACTTGAATTAAAATGATTCTCATGGTTGGGGAAGTGATTTTTTTTCAAACCTCTTGTACCATCAAGAGATGTATTTCCCAAAGTATTGATAAAAATAATGAGATGGTTTTATTTCTCTTTTGGTTTGGTTTTATTCGTCTTAATTTTTTTTTTCGGTTTAGCCCATTCATTATTCTATTAAATCATTGCTTATTAGGTAAATATTTAAGAAACGACGATGACAATAGCATACAAGTGACACACGTCTTTAAATATATTGATAAAACAATAATTTAACCGTACATCAAATCTTTTATCTAACATTTTTTTTAACAATGGTTAACGTAGAAGATATAATTGTAAATCGAACATTTGAATCATATTCTCCACCACTTGGTATCATTTAAGGGAGTATATCATCTTTCGTAAATCAACTATAGGGATTTTCAGTTATTTTGCAAGAAATTTTCTGTTAAATTGCTATTATAAAGTTGAAAAACTTTGCTATACATGTAGAGAAAACAACTCTAAAATTCTTCAAAGGCACTTTGAGGACTTCAAATTACCATCAAATCCCTGGATAAAAAATTCACTTCATTTTAGGGGGAATGATGAATCTGCAACTTTGTTCCTAACCTTCAGTTTAACAATCAGTTGGTGGTATAATGAATCTTTCAAGAGAGAGATCATAACAATGGCACAAGTCGAAATCGAATAAGCGAATCAGTGAATGTTAATGTTATATTGATGAACATTCAAGAAATATTACATAATCAATGGGTAATCTTAGGCTTACTACTTCTAAACCAACAATAGCATTAATGCTACAATGAATAGAAGTTCTGAATGCTCTCCTACAACTGCAATTGCAGATTGGATTCAGGAGTTTCTAGAGTAAAATATACATAGCCAATACACAGAGAGAAAAAGGAAGGCTTCAGAAAGGGCTAACCATTCGAGCCAATCTTATCAAAATCTCAGGAACAAGGCGCGGTTTTGGCGGTGCCATGGAATCCTTTGCTAAAGCTTCCTCATCGCAAGCGTGTAATATGGCAACTATGTCATCAAAAAGTTCGTAATTGCCTCCCCTAAAAGGATCCTGCAAAAGATAATAAAGCTACTTAGTGATCTTCTTGGATAGAACAAATACAGTAGATAAAGTTGGGAGAAAATGCTCGTTTCGGACTTTAAATATCAACGAAAAGTTGTGTTTCTTTATCAAATACATGTATAAATTACATGTATGGATGTATGTCAAAACCGTCATACTAAATCAATCCTGTAAGAGGATCATAAAGTACAGAAAGAAAAAAAGATATTCGAATATCAATCTTGAGAATAACCATAAAGCAACATCAGAAGCAGCAACAGATCCTTGAGGTCAGCTCACCTGAAGGAACAAATCTGTATGAGTTTTTCCCTCGTAGAGAAAGAGGTCAGCTTGTGCCCCTGCTTTTCCAAGTGTCTCCGCAAAAGATTCACTGCAAATGACATAGAACTTATTCATCCCCATGACAATATGATTCCTTTTTTTTTTCTCTATTGCCAGGTTATTCTTGAAGTTGAGAACACAGAACAGCATGAGTAGGGGATAAAATTGGATTTCTTTTTTCGTTATTGATTTCATAGCTGTACATAATTTAAATACAAGTATCAGAGCAAGAGCTGATTTAGCAAACATCTGTTATTTGATCTCAGAAAAGCTATAAAGTCTTGATAAATAGAACCCCAGCATGCTTTTTTATTTTCATTCCAAATACATGCTTATACATGAATAAATATACCTTTTTTCTCATATTAACAAATTTATACTGGATTAAAGATTGCAAAACTTCCCTACATAAGCATGGACACTATGGTTTGGGCAGCGTATCAGTGTCCACCACATGTCCAACACTTGTTAAGTACAATAAACATGTTCTAGCACTAATGAACAAATTCACTACAAGTTTGACAATAACAAGACACGTGCTGGACACTTGTGAAGCACAATAAACATGTGTCAACCGCTCAAGCGAACATTCCAATGGTGTAAGACATAGATTCACAAGTCACTGCAATAGATGAGCTAGATGTGCATATAGTTGGAGTAGTCCGATCAGAATGTCTCTCTTCTATACTAAAATTACTTTAAATTTACTTTTTATTAAGATGTTAATTCATTTAGAAATTTGATAAGATGGTTGAGATGAATCTTGAATGTTTTATATTTTGACATAAAATATTGTATGATAAATGCATAAACATCATAAACTTAAACAAAATTTTAGCACAAGAATCACTAAAGTGTATAGCTATGCCATGTCCATGACCAAAATTTTTAGAAATTAATGTATCACCGTATATGTGTCGTGTTCATGTCTCGTGTGTTCCAAATATTTAGAAGATAAAAGGTGACTTAAAGAATAATTGATGAGCATTCATCTATAATCAATTCAATAAGAGAAACGGACTAACCTGGCATCTGATGGGATCGAATAATCAGCAGTGCCATGGAAAAGAACAAAAGAAGGTAAGCTGGATATGACATCTCTAAAGCTAGGATCTTGGATTCTTATTTCAGGGGAAAATTGGGACAGAGATTGTTCACCTTCCATTATGCTACAGAGAAAAAAATAACACAAATTGAAGAACAAATCAGCCAGTTAATGAAGATAAGAAAAGGAAAGACAAAAAGTCATTTAGAACCTACCTCAAAAATAAGGAACGATATAGGCCCCGACCATCAAAGTGATCAATTAATTTCAGTAAGTTATAACTGTTCACAGAATTTGGAAAAGGAAACTTCAGAACCGGATCCTCAACCATGTGCCAAACAAGGAAGCAAATTGCACAGTGACCAATAACTAGGACTCTCTAAATGCCGAAGGCCGGCCTGTGATAGAGGAATAGTAGTGAAATGAAATATGAAAAGCAATTGTCAATTAAGGATGTTTCTAATACTTTTTAGCATGAATATTTTATGAACATAGTTTGACTAATGAACGTTTGTGAAGTACAATTGTAAACATCTCAAACAACACAAAGTTTATAAGTAAAATATAAGGTCCTCAACTTTCAAAAAGCTACGGAATGCAAGGTATTGACCTTGACCTCTCAGATAGATAAAAATGAATGAGAGGAGTTGCTAGATATAAACCATTCGCATTAAAAGGAACCAAACATATCATAAGATATTTCTCTATATCATCTTTTCTATTTCACTACCCAATTAGTTATCAGCACTGAATCCAGGGGACAGAAAAAAAGATAGCTCCAGAGACAAGGAATTGAGAGGTAGTAGGGCCATCAATTTAGCAACAACCAGCCGTTTTTTAGAGCACAAGTCGAGCAAAAATATGGTCTGACATTACTCCGGCTCAAATTCTTCTCTTCTATTCTGTCTGACATCTTTAAAGCACAAGAATGTTACAAAAAGTACTTCGTCTAAGTGGTCTGTTGAAAGAAGAGCAAAATTAACATTGGCGGCAAACATGGTACTAATATTCATCAGACAAATCACAGAGGCTTAGTACCATTTTTCATATGGGTTCCTGAGAAACCCTTAAATTCCATAAGAATAAAGCAATAGTAGAAATTTACCCTCCAGATAAACCAAAATAAGATTTTATTTGGCAGACACTCCAATCTACACTATCTCCTTTTCCAGCTTCTTTGATTGCTTGCTCCAAGAGGGCACAAACAGAAATATGTGCACCAGCTGATTGTCCCATCAGAAAGATTCTATTCAGGTGGGGAAAATAAAATGATAAGATAGTGAACGTATGATGAGGAATGAGAAACATGAAGAAACTATCGGTTACCTATTCGGATCTCCTCCATAGTCTGCTATATTGTTGCAAACGAATGAAACTCCTTTAGAAACATCTTTCACCATGTCACTAATTGTAGCCTGCGGAAAGTTTCTGCAAGTAGAGAGTTATCAGATTAATATAGAAACTCCAACAAGTGCAAATATTACCAACACAAACTTGACATATTCAAATTAATTAGTTAACATATTCCATTCCAGACAAGTCTCTTGTACCCATCATTCTTCAGTCAAAAAAATCTAACTAGAGAGAATAATAATAATAAAGAAAGAAAGAGACGAGGAAGAAAAGCTCATCATGATAATGTTTGTATTAAGAATATGAATAAAAGATTGACTATAATCATGATAATGCTTGTATTAAGTTTTTGAGCTTAATAGTAATACAATATGGTATTAGAACCAGGGGTCCTCCATTCCTATAATGTCATTTTTTTCCCAATTAATATTGATAGTTGTTTGACCTTGTGCTAAGCCCACAAGAGGAGGGGAGTGCTAAAAATAAGAATAAAAGATTAAATATGTTGTAACCTATACGTCTGAGCTTTAGCTTTTGGGATTACTAGTAGTTTAACCACTTGAACATAATGCATTACCTATAGTCAATTGAGGCCACAATGATATCTCTCTCTGCCAACTGCAGTCCCAGTAGAGCTCCCCATGCTTTATTCCTAAATTGTCAACAAACATTAGAAAATCGACGTTAAAGAAAAATGTTGTAATATTTCCATATTGGGAAACTAAGGAAAAACACTTCCATGAGTAGTTAATCAAACAGATCAATTTGCTAAGTTAATACACATCCTTTCTTAAAAAGGTAATTTGGAAATTTTATAGAACTTTTGAAGATCTTGACTGGATATCATGATTTATTATCTTCTTTGCTTCCTAACCTCCTTCCGGAGTATTCTATCAAAAAGCTTTTTGATAGAACTCAGATGGTCTATTTGCAATATACTCAACCAACACCCCAAAATAGGACCCAAAACAGAGGTTAACCTTAGCACTTTGAGAGGCCAAGAACTCTCCCTCAAGGATATTTTCCCTAAGGCCAAAATACAAAACAAATGTTCAGATGCCCGAAAAGATCCTGCAACCCCAAAGATAAACCCCTCCCTCATGACCTATTGTCGTGCCCAACCTATTAAAAAATGGGGCCCACTCTAGCACGCACTCTCAAATAACATAACTAACTTTTTTTCTTCTTTTTGCCATTCTTCCTTTGGGTATATACATACTGTACGGCTGGTATGTTCCCATCACTTTTGAAATCTTTCGTTTATTTATAAAAGCCAATTAGGAAAGGTTGTGTGTACTTTCGTTTGGTCTTTGGCTGAGAGAAAACCAAACCTCTTTTACCTCTTGTAATCTCTATTTTTTGTTTTTCAAACTTTAAAAAAATATGAGAAGAAAGACCATATAAGATCTTTCCAGATTAAATCCCAAAAAACTAAACTGTATATAAAAATAGTAATAATAATAATCATAGAGTAATGCATTGTAATATAAATTTTAAAGCATATGAAGAAGAGTGTTCTAAGAACTGAATGAAACCAATTCAAAATTTCATTTCAATTTGAGGAAATTCTTCCGGATGGGCAAGCAAAATGCCATCAACCTCAAATCACTTACCCGATAATCCAAGCTCCGCCACTAACAAATATCACAACTGGTCTTTTTTTATCAGTATTTCTAGGTAAATACAAATCCAAGCTGCAAGATCAAAAATATAAATAAATAAATAAGAAACAATTATGCCATGATCAATGAATAGATAATGTTCAAGGTGAAAAAAGAAAAAACAAACATAACAATTACCTGTCCTAGGATAACACCTACCTATTTCTTGGTTGATCTCCGTAAATAATATCCCTCCGAACCTGACTTGAGTAGTAATAATCATACATAACTGATGTAAAAAAAAATATTAGATATGCCCGCTTTATCCAGTACATGCAATCATGTAACAAAATTTCCAAAAGTAATATATCAATCAAGATGATATATATAATAATTTCTCAAATCTGAGATGCAAACATCAATACGAGGGCATAATTACGTTTTTTTTCCAAATGTGATGAAAGTGCTGAAAATGGTTTACAGCTAGCTGGTTGAGTGCTCGCATATGCTCCAGCTCATCTACAAATTCATTATACGTGGAACCCATTCATATTTAAGTTACAAAATAACTTGTTAACTTACATTTTCCGGTATCTCTCTATTATACAAATTATCTTGATTTTTTGTTCATTTCTCTCACTCCTATCCATTTATTTAATATTGACATGAGTTAATATCCTTGGATATAAGTATAGAAAATGATACTTTACAGCTAATTTAAACAATTTACTAAAGTTTCATTAATCAACTCGAATAATTCCTATGAATTTTTAGCTTCCATTTTTTCTCAAGACTTGGTATTGCCATCTAAATTGATTTTGAATTCATTGTATGCAACAACATCCTTAACTAAGACCAATTTTGTTGTACACTTGATATCCAGCCAGAGAGTCGCATGATCGATCATGTAAGAGTCTAAACTCTGAATATGTATAAGTTCTAAAGTGATTTTCTAATAGTAGTCGAAAATTTACAGGTTAAAGACGAAGCATACCTCTCCCCTTGCACCTAAGTTTATCTTTACAAACACCTAAGTGAATCAAGATTCATTTGGGACAAAAAAAAAAGGTGAATAATTCTCAGCAGTTGACCACCTAAGAGGCATAGACACTATTTTGGTACAAACAACTAAGTGAATCAAGATTCATATGGAATGATGTTTACTAAAGAGAATACAGAACATCTCAACCATACAAAAGAAGTTACACAAAAGATTTCTAGCTATTACAAATGAAAGAAAGATTGTAACTACAAAAAGATTGTGAAGTTTACACCAAATAGCAAACACAGAATTATTATGATTCCACAAAAAAAATAGTTTTATCTTCATGAAGAAAATTATTCTATTTCTTTTATATCAAAGGGTCCAGAAAAACTCCAACAACCAGTCCCCCAGGCAAGGCAGAAATTTTGACCTTATCCCAAGCAACCATGTAAGAGTTCCCTCAATACTGTTACCCTCCCAGTAGAAGTCTTAGTAAGACAGCTTGAAAGATGAAAAAGGAATTTTGAAATTTTCCCAATAGTTTAGACCAGACAGATTCGTAGCCTCAAAGATTGATTCAGGAGCTTCTGCTTAGAACTTCTCGCAAAATTATGTAGTTCAACATGTAGCATGACAAAATTATGTTTTCATAGGAGTATATATACAACAGTTTTTTTAGTGAAAGAAACAATTTCATTGATGTATGAAATTACAAAAGGCCCTATAGAGGATTACATGAAACACTTCCAATTTGTTAATAGGGAAGTGTAACTATCATGATGAAAAAGAGGAGAGTTTTTACACCGTGACAACTTTGTAAACAATGCCATCAAAAAACCTCTCATAAGGTTGTGGTTTATCGTTGAAGGTTCTTTGGTTTCTTTCTCCCCAAGTAGTCCATAAGAAGGCTCGAATAAAATTCATCCATAGAATAGCCTTTTTATTTTTGAATGGCTGTCCAGCAAGAGAGAATTCTATGAGAATAGGGGGGGTCATTTGGGAGGGCTGTAGACCAACCAAAAGTGTTGAGGATGGACCTCCAGAAATTTGTTGCATAGGTGCAGGTGACAAAGAGGTGTTGTTGAGTTTCCAAGCTTTCTTCGCAGATGGAGCACCATTGTGGAGAGATATATACAACAGTATTACTACTTCTGATAGAATGTAAGTGATCAAAGACTGGGAGGTTTCTATATTTTTTCTTTTCTCTTCGAACAAGAAAGATAAATTATCATTTCTCATTGAACTGTCACGGATAAGCAAAAATAAAATACAGGGAGGTTATGAACCAACTACCACGAGATTGATCTAGTCATGGAAGGAGTATGATGTAAACCTAGACACCCTTTCTTAGAGGGAAATTATTTCCTAACCATTGAAAACATGGTCGGTCAAACCACAATTTTTTAATCTCTTTATACATCTAATAGTATAAAATCATCAGTCACATTATTCAAACCTTCTCTAATAATTTCTCTTCTTAAAGGCCACTAACAAAAACATTTATATGCTACAAGTTTCATTACGCTAAAGTATTGGGAAATTTGGGTGAGTTTACTCGAAGTACACAAAAGATAGCCAAGAAGAACAAGATCAAGAGAGAGAGGAAGAGAGTACTATTAAGAAGTTAGTGAGAAAGGCACGTGAGAGAGAGAGAGTATCAGGCTATCAGCTTTACGCCTTTTAGAGGTTAGGGAGGAAGGCGGAAGATTAATTTAAGTAAAGGCTTCTATAGTTGTGCTTTAATTCGTATTCCCCATACGGAACTTAGGGCATAAAAATTCCACCCCAAGTTTAATTTTACAAAAGTCCAAGAATAATTTGCAGTACAAAAAGAAATGAACAAAGCAAAAGGCACTTGTGCAATAAGCCATACAACAAATACCTTGAAGAAAACCCGGCATAAGCAGAATGGCATATATTGCAAGTGCAGTTAATCTTACGACCCACCGGTACCCTACCCTGAAAGAAAAGAAGGGATCGTGAACCAAATTAATATAAATTATGTAGAGATTCCCTAATTAAATACAAATTTACTGATCCTCCTGTTTGAACAAAGAAAATTAATATAATAAGAGATTAAATGATTGATAATCCCCTCGTTATGAAGTCAAATTAAGGAGCAGAAAGCGTAAAATTCCAATCTACAAATGATTTCCAATTAATTTTCTCAGATAATGGATTATAGATAAAACGAGCTGAAGACAAAAAAGAACATCGATACCGTGTTAGGTCAGCGAAACCAATCGCAAATTGCAATCATACGGAGCACACTCCACAAACCCAGGAGATAATCAAACACACGCTCACATCTACCACTCAAACAGAGCATTCAGACTTCCAAATAATCGAAATCGCACGACATTAACATATGATCGACAGAATCGGCGAATTCGAGAGAGAGAATCCTTTTATTTCCAAATTACCCGAGAGATCGAAGGAGAGTGAAACTCAACCGAGTAAGAAGAACGGTTTCTTTGGCAGCATGGCAACACTCTTGGCTAAAAGACTGCTGGCGCCGCGGCAGTTGGGGCTTCGCTGCACCGAGGCGGCGGCGCAACGGGTGGTGAATAATCCCAAGCGGATAATTCAGCATCCTCGAAAGCAAAGGCTGGGTCTCCACGGGATCAACGTCAAAACAAATCCCGGGGCCGGGAAACGTCGAGACGGGAGGGAGGCGGTCAGCCGGAGCCGCCATGGACCGCCGGAGAAACGGAGAAACGGAGAAGCGGAAGAATCGAAGCCGATCAAATGGGGGAGCCGGCCGCGATCGGAGAATTTTTCTGAGATTCAGATTTGAAAAATTGAAAGCGGTTTCTAGTTGTGTGGGCAGGCAAGATCGAAATTGTCGGATTCCATTTTGCAGTGTAAAGGACAAAAACACGCGGCATTGAAAGTCCAATTGGATAATCTCGTGCTGCCGACGTGGCGTACCGAACAACGATCTGTTTGGCTGGAACTCTCCCTGTGGTCCTTCCTTCAAGACTCGGAGACTACAAAACTCTTTTTTCTTTTTCTTTCCTTTCTTCAAAATGTACTTTTTTTGCCTTACTTAACTCTGATCAATTGATGGTCAGTTCGAATTTTCCATCCCTATTTATTGTACTAAAAAAATTATTGACCTTTTAAAAGACAATTCTTTAAAATAAATAAAAAAAATATTGAGTAGTTATGTCCTATACAATGTATAGGGATTTCTCCCACACATATGGATCAATCAAACCTTTACCGTAACTTGCTAGAAAAGATATGTTTTGTTTAGAAAATATATCTTCTGAAGTTTCCTCCTTATGAGTCGAAAGGGCACCTTGGGATACTAACAAAAATTCATTAGTAGTGTCATTTGAAGAGTTCAATCTCTAATTTTTGTTTAATCAACCAATGTGTCGCACTAATCTATGATTCTCGCTTGATATAAGAGGGGGAGAAAGCGTTAGACTCAAGTTAACAGTAGAACAATAATATTCAAAATAGCTGGGTGAGAGTGCATGTGTTATTCTAAATGCAATTTTCTAAAGCATCACATAAGTAGACAAGCTTGTAACGCGGCTAAAGGCTAGAGCTATATTGAGTTGACAAGTTTTCAATAGCTACAAAAGAACCCTCCAGTGAGACTTCAATTACCAATGTGAATATAACATTATGGGAAAGATTGTTATGTAGTTAAACTGCTAGAAACTTATGGAAGAGCCATAAAGACACTAAAAACTAAGCTGTTAAAAGCATATTAATTGACGACATGATATGTTTTTACGTTTACTCAACTCTATGATTTACTTTTAATTGGTTTCTCAATTTGTAACATAACAATGAGAACCCTTTGCTGAGTGAAAGCTTATCACCAACGGATGTCAGATACAAGAGCATATATATTGCATCCTAGAGAAATATATATTTCATTGTTTTCCTGTTGTATTTATGAATCTCAATTCTCATCCATATATTTATACATGGTACCTTTTCGATTCATGTAAGGTTCAAACCTAATAGACGAAAACCATCGCTTACTCAGAAGTTGAAAACGGCTCTTCTTAAAGTTAAAGTATGTACCTTTGATTTTATGCTCCATACATAACATATCGAAACCCTTGAAAATATAATTCTATAACTTTTTCTCTTGTTTATACGAGAAGAGAAAAACCCTTTCTATTGGGACATAAAATGACTAGACCTCCAATAAGAGCTAATCCAATAATGATCTAACTAGTTTCCCCTTCCACGAGACGAAGCATATCTTAGTATGATTACTAATAAAGAAAATACAATATAGGAATGGAGAAGCAAACACTATAAAATATATTGGTTCGTCCCAAGCTCGGGACTACATCAAGTCTTCTTCAAATATAGGTTCTATCATGATGGGAAGACTAATAGTCATAGGTTTTGAAGGTTAGCATTTTGAACTTGCTTTAAATTGGAGCATCAATAATCTCATGTACGAAGGGAAGGTCGTCTCCCAAGGGAAAGTCGTCGTCCTCGAGAGAAACTCATCATCAAAGGAAGGTCCTCCTCGAACGGAATGTCGTCCTTGAGGGAAAGTCATCCTCGAAACAAATGTCATTCTCCAGGAGAAGGTCCTCCTCGAAGGAAAGATCATCCTCGAGAGGAAAGCCATCATCGAAGGAAAATTCGTCCTCTAGGGGAAGGTCCTCCTCAAAGGAAAGATCATTCTTGAGAAGAAAATTATTCTCGAAGGGAAGGTCATCCTGGAGGGAAAAATCATCATCGAGGGAAAGTCGTCCTGGAAGGGAAGGTCATTCTGGAGGGGAAAGTCGTCCTTGAAGAAAAGGTTATTCTCGAGGGAAAAGTTATCCTCGAAAGAAAGATTAGCCTCGAGGGGAAGGTCCTCATAGAATGGAAAGTCATCCATGAAAAGAAAGTGGTCCTCAAAGTAAAGATCATCCTCCGGGACAAGGTCTTCTTCGAAGGAAAAGTGGTTCTTGAAGGAAAGATCATGCTTGAGGGTTAAATTGTCCTTGATGAAAAGTTGTCCTCGAAGGGAATGTAATCATGGAAAAAATCGTCCTCAAGATAAAGCCGTCCTCAAAGGAAAGGTCATTCTAGACGATAAGATCGTCCTCTGGGAAAGGTCATTGTCGAGGGGAAATTCATCTTTAAAGGGAACGTCGTCTTCCAGGGAAGGTCATAAAACTAACTTTGACATGTTTGTAAGGGATACATACCTTTTAAGAAAATTTTGAGAAAACTCTTTATTTAATATCACTGCCTTATCAATTTCTTTATTTTGTGATTTATGTGTCCAAAAATTAATCCATGCCCGAGTGGTGTGTAGGCATAATATAAATCTCAAAATATGAAATGATAAAAATACACAATATTATAATTTATTGTTTTAGTTTATTTTTAGCTCAATTTTGACATTCCTAACTTTTTAGTTCGGTAACATGTAGGTATGGATCAAATTCCTAACTTTTTGATCAAGAATATGTCAATTGAGCTCCATTCAAATTCGTAGGACAAAATCTATTTAATGAAATTAAAAGTTAGGAATGTCAAAATTGACCAACTAAACTTAATCAATTCACAAAAAATGCAAATAATTTACCCTCACAATCCCAATTGCTCGACATAAAAGTAGAATGATATTATTACAAATTGAATAGCTCTACACTAAAGTTGAATTCACGCACAAAACAGAACAATTATTACTTCCAATGGACATTGGAAATCATGGGGAGGAAATTGGAGATTTATTTCAGAAACTCTCTCTGATCAACTCACTAATTGTTGTGAAGGAAAGGAAAGGGCCAATTCACAATCTCCATCCAAAAACCTCAGGCTGATGACAGAAGGCTTCTATCTTCTGAGGAAAAAAAAAGTGAATATTCATTCAGTAAACTAAAAGAAAGCTAACAGAAACACTTTCTTAGTCTGTGTTTTCTACCTGATCCACCATCTTTCTGCTGCAGAGAGTGAAGGTTTCAGAAATGGTAGAAATCTGCTGACAAATGGATTTACTTTTCTCCCAACTTTAGCCCAGCCACTCTGATGATACCCAGCAGTCATGGGGAAGTGATACATGAGTCTTAGTAGCTGCAACAAAAAGTTCCTAGGAAATTAATACCCTCGATTTTCCATGTTTCGTGCAGGTTGTAAGAGAAGGAAGAAACCAACCTGCCAGTACATGAATGTCAGCACGAAGTTTCGCTGCCATCTGCACGGAGGAATCGTGTTGATCGATTTACAAAGTATGAACGAATATATTTATGATGGAAAACAAAAACAAAAAAAAAATGCTGAACTTACGAGAATAAGGAGATGATCAGAAGGAAACCCAGTGCAATCTCAACATTTGAAGATAGGAGAGAGAGAGTAGTCGTATTTGATTCCACCCACGCACAAGGTCGCTCCAAGCATTTCCTGAACAACCAATCAGATCTGTAAATATCCAACCCACGGGGAATAGTCTGAAATTATAATTAAGGCTAAACTACAAATTCTAGTGCCTGAACTTTCTGGTTTGCATCTCAACTTAAAAAAAGTTTTTAACAGATCCCTAAACTTTTAACTTTTTGTCAAACATGTTCCTGAATTTCAATTTTGTATTTAATAAGTTCATGACATATACAACATTTACTCAGATTACTGCCTCTCTCTATCTCTCTCTCTCGAAAAGGTCCTTCTCTTCATCGGACAGAAAAAGTATGTTGTTTTTTTAAGTTATGTAGGAGAGAGATGAAACTTCTTTCCCCTTGTAATAACCGCATTCATCTTACAGAACCTTTTTATTTATCAAAAACGATCACGAGGCAAGATGATAATTGAAAACTCGATGATACAACCCTGAAAGTGTATGAAATGGCTGAAAATAGGAAAAGTACAGCCAATACGATAGTACAAGTAGGAATAGCAGAAAATAATTGAGAACTTTGATGGTGCACTCTCAAATAGCATGAAATAGATGAAAACCAGAAAAATACAGCAAGCAGGAGGATACCTAGATAATTGAACTCGGCCGCCCTATCTTTCACTATTTCCTTCCTTCCAACCCTTCAACTAACAAAGTAATCCTCCTATAACTTATTCACTAGCTAATAAATTCATTCACCGCCTGTACCGGTTACTGAAGTATCTAACATTTTGTTACAGGGGTGTTAAAAGAAAATTTCTGATGATCCAAACAACCTACAACACCCAACCAAATTTGCATGATTCAAAGCAATGTCATTGAAGTTCTAGTTTTTTATAAAATAAAATAAAATTGATGTGTAAAAATAGGAAAACAAATACTTAAGACCCTGATTGTTTTATGTTTTTTAAAATTTTGTTTATAAATACTCCTTTTACTGTATTTATCTGTTTTATTATCTACTTTTTAAAAACACTTCCAAAATATAAGCTAATTTTAAAAACTAAATAAAGTAGTTTTAAACTACTGGGTTTTGTTCTTAAAATTTGGCTAAAATTTCAAATATATTTTTAAGAAAGGTAAAAAACATACCAAATAAATGGTAAGAAAGTAATCATAATTTTTAAGAACATAAAAAAGACAAAATTATTAGTAAACAGGGCTTAAAATACTACTATTTCACAAATTTTCTCATAGTTGGACAACCCAACCTTGAGCTACATCCATCACCTAGTCATTCGTAGAAACTACTGAATTTCAAATAGAAAATTTATGTAATTAGCTAATTTTTTATTAATGTTAGGAAGAGGAATGCACAAAGATTTACTAAGCATTTGAGAGGCTCATTTCTCTCCCAGAACAATTCTCAAAAAAGCTCCTAACCTCCCTAGCTGCTGTAACAAGAAAATAAGGAGAAACGCATTCAGAAGGGATAGGGAAAACAACACGGATGAACTTCTATATGCTATCATCAAATAACCCAATCTCTTTAATTTTTACAAGTAAACAAGTTAACTTGAGAGAAACCTTGCCACTTACCTGTAGAATAAAGATCGAGGGAAACTACGCCTAAGGAACTTGGCAATCTGCTCAATAGTTCCACATATAATTGGAATTAAAGCAACTGTAACGAAGGAGAAACTGTTATACCATGCATAACTAAGTAAAAATTGCATAAAGTTAACTTATTGATGAAAACAAGGGTAAAAGGGAAAGCAGCAATACATTTAAGGCAGAGATTTGAAGCTACAAAGGTGAGGCAGTAAATGAAGTAGACAAAAGCTTTTGTTGCAACGACTGACTGGAAGTAAACTTCCAAAGCCTGCATATCCAATGCTTTGGGCGCCTACAAGATAAAACAGGTCAGAAAAACCTTGAGGCATATCAGAAGGCACTAGTTACTCAAACAAAAAACTTACCCCACAACTAATCAACAAGGAGAACAGAGAGGAGAATGTGGTTCCCATAAAAGAAAGCCTAAAAGCCCTATGTGAAAGATTTTTGGGTACCATTGGTAACATTGCAAACAATGCCACAATCAGCACCTACAGGAAATAATGAAAGACAGGTAAGGATGGATAAACCATACTTGATTCTGCAAATAAAATCTAGTTCTTCAGATGTCTATTTGACACACTTCTAAGATATTTAGAAGGGCTAAAGAATAAAAGATTAGCTGAAATATGGGTTTGATTTAAAAACAACACCATTAAAATTTTGAAACATCACTAATTTATCCTGCCCAAATAAGTAAACAAATAACTCTTTTTAAGGAAAATAATATTAAACTAATCAAATATAGAAACATCAACCCGAGATTTCCTTAAATGTAAGTTTGTTTATATATTTATCTTTTTTGTCTAATATTAAAAAAAACTACATTCTCCAAAACAATTAAAATACAGTTGCTATAAGAAACTTGATCAAGGTTAAGATACATGAAAATAAATAACATTGTATACATTTATACAGAGATGTGCAGAAGTCTACTTGTCACTGCATGTGCATAGGCATACACCTATATTGTAAGTGCATATAAATTTCACTTTACCCAGGCATTGATTGAAAAGAGAATCATATGTAGACACAAGTGCTGAGAAGTTGGATTTGAATCCGTAGTTGTCGACGTTCCTGAATTCCCAGTAGTTGACCCTATATTGTCAATAAACAAGTAACCTAATTAGTAAATCTTGTAATAAACCTGGAAATATACAATGTAAGTCTAGTTTGGACTGCAACTATTTTGCTGATAAATAAAGACAAATCCCTCACCTGAGCTCTGTGCCTGAGTTTGATCATTTGTAGGAGGTGAAGGTGCAGATTGCCTTGCTGACTGAGATGGTAAACTGCTGAAAGACACTGTCTGCACTACAAGATCAGGATCCTGCATGTCAATTAAATATCAGCAGTTAAATTGTTGACCTCAAGTCAAATGAGGTTCCAATCGCAAACTATAGTTAAATGTCCTGTTTTCTCCAAGGGATAAAAACAACATAGAATAAAGATGACTAAGAACAGGCCAAAGTAACTCTCTTCATTCCTCCACAGCTTTCTTTCTATTTTACAACTCACTTCTTCCCTTTTCTTTCAAATTATAACTTTGGCATCAACTTTATGATCCAATATTTCCAGTCAAGGACACGATATACAAATGACACGGTGCTGAGTTGAAGCTACGAGAATGCAATTACTCTTTTGAGGTATGGAAATGACATATTACCCAATAGGTTTAAGATGATCGTCTATTGAAGCAAATAAATCCAATCAACCAACCAGAACCCTAGAGATATAAAATTATACACCAAAAAACAAGTTCAAAAACGATAAAAGAAAGAAAAACCACAAAACAATCACACCATAAATGCACAGCTCAACAACTAACTGGGGAAAGAAAAACAGATAGCGATTATACAAGGTAAACAGAACCAGATCACTCAGAATAGAAAAGAATGGAGCAAATGCAGGTACAAGTAACAAATTTATGACTTCCAGTTCCAATCACAAACTCTAAGTCCAGTTTCCCAAGAACCAAGGCAGCCAGAAAATCAAGAAACAAAACGCCAAAAGCAAAACGAGACGCAAATTACAGAATTGGAGAAAACCCAATAAAGGGTGTGGAAGAATCGGGAAACAGAACAGTAAACTGGATAATTTCACAAACATTAACTCCAAATTAAAGAAAGAGAGAGAAGAGACAATGTGGCGTTGGTAGAATTTGCGTTTGAAGTGGTCGATGACGTCGGAGCGAGAAACCAAGTTGGGAGGAATGAGAATGTTGGACCAGTAATCGGCCCATCGGGAGTCGTTGTCGTAATCATACGCCGCCGCCGCAATTCGCTTCAGCCTCTGAGTTTCTTCACTGGTTTCCGCCATTTCTCCTTCGAGGAGAAGAAGGACGACTCGTTTCTTCAACTTTTGAAGTTCATCGCCACCCAATAAACGACGTCGTTGCTTGCGTGATCTATTCTGTTATCTAACTTCTCATTTCCGTTGAGATGCCAAATAAAAAATATTAAATTTCTATTTTAGTTCATAAATTACAAATTGATTACCTGAATTCAGTTTCTATTTAATAAGTTTTTGAAGTTTAAGATTCTTAAAATAAAAAAAAAAAAAAATTTTGAAGCTTAAAGTGGGTGTATTTTTAAATTTTGTGTTTGATAAATTTATAAATCTTTAATTTTAAGTTTAGTATTAATTTTTAATTTCGTGTTTAATAATATTTGACATATTTAATATTATTCAAAATTCACGAATCTATTAGTACAAAAGTAAAAATTTAGAAATCTATTCAACATATTTTTTAAAAAATGTGTTTCTTTTGGTTTTCGACTTTTGGTGAAGGCCAAATTTTAACCTCGATTTGGTTGGAACTTACGTCCTGCCTGACACTCATCTCCAACAATTGGAGGATGAAGCTAGTGGGTAAGAATGGTGATCGGGAGATGAGAGTCATAAGGGTTGGGAGGCACAATATTCGTTTTTTTTTTGTTAAAGTTTTCCAAGTGGCATCGTAGTTGATATCCCAGTCCATATTTATATTAAATCGATGGACCAAATATGTTTTTTAATCAATTTTAAAGATAGCAAAATAAATCATGGACTAATTTAAATTTAAAGTCTAATAACTTTTTGACCTATTTGTCATTTTTTTTTTAATTCATAGACCTATTATACACAATTGAATATTTTTTGTCTAGTAGAACTTTGATCTTCCAACCTAGTATCTAACAAACTCGTGATTCTTAAAAAATGTCTATAGATCAACATCAAAAATTTGTGTTAGACATTCTTTTAAAATTTATAGATACACAAAATTAAAAAAGTGTAAATGTCAATTAATAACCATTTCATTTTTGTTTTTAAAAAATATGTTTATTTTCTCCTTTAAAAACAGAATTATTAGTCAAATTTCAAAATAAAAATAAAGTTTTCAAAACTATATATCTTTTTCTAATTATCAAAACCTAAACCAAGAAGAAAGTTCGGTCGAGCTACGTTCGCTTTTGATAATTAAACAAACGGTGAAAATGATATTACTAAAATTTAATTTGCAGAAGTAATCTTATAATTTAATCGAAAATCCTAGGTTGCAATCAAGACATTTTGCTCCTTATATACCGGCGGCGCTTCAACTGTGGGAGAAATAGAATAGCGGCAGCGGGCGACGGAGGGGATCAGGCAAAGATGGCTGGTTTGCTCGCATGGGCGGCGGACGTCGTCGGCGGCGGCGGCGCGAATCACAACGACGAACAGACCGCTTCGATCCCCATTATATTTACTCCCGACCAGCAAAATTACGTTCGAGAATTGAATCAGAAAGCAGCTTCTCTCAGCCGCTCGATCCACGATCTGCGCCTTCGACTGCCTCCTCCCGACATCTCTCAAAGCCTCCCTCACCTTCATGCCCACTCTATTGCGTCCAGTGCCGCTCTTACTCTTCAATTGAACGCCCACTCTTCTACTCGCCAACAGGTTAGCATTCAGATTCTTTTGTTTTTCCCATATTTATTGTTGATTCTGATCATATTTGTTACTTATAGAATCTAGGTTTTACTTTGGAGTTGTGGAATTGAGGGTTTACTGGTCTCGGTCTTTGGTTCTTGGTTGTCGTTCTCTGCGATCGGTCTAAATGGTTTATATAGCCTAAAAATGGAATAGTTTCCTTCAGGTGCATTGCTGAATGCTGGTTACTCTTCTCATTTGGGATCAGAACAATTAAATCTTTTCTTTGCTCGACTTTGTATTGGAACCCTAATTTTCAAGTTCCATTTTTCGTAGTTGTCCAGCGTATACGACATTCATGTATGCACTCCAACTTAAAAAGTTATCTGGTTGCCTCTGTAAAAGTGACTCCAAGAACTGATGCCTGAAACGAATGTAGTATTCGAAATCATTTTGAAGAAATACAACCATTGTTATTGGAAATGGATGAATTTCTATTATTGATTTATCCCTTTTTGTATCTTTATTTCCCTTTTATTGGCGAGAGGTTTAGAGGATTGAAAAAGAATTCAGACAGAATCAGTGTTATCTGCAAAGTGAAATTTATTAGATAAGAACAAACAATGCTAAAAGGTTGAAAGATAACCTTAGCTAAATGTGAGGCTTTGAAAGTGCGTGCTGAAGATAATGATCTATTGGAGTTAAACTAGTACTTAGAAGAGAATGCTGGCAGTTCCTGCTCATAAATATTTAGCCTTCTGTGCATTAATGGATCTGGAAGTTGATATGATTTACAATATAGGGTGCTGAAGAAACGTTCTTACTTGGCCCAGTTTTTTCCTCAGTATCATTGTTGGAAACGTTACAGTCACTTGAATGGGCACACTTAATCATATTAGGCTTCTTACATGTATGCACAAAACGTTTGTGGTTATGCTGCACTATTACTTCTGATGGTTGGTATCATTCCTATTGCTAGGTCCAATTGAGAGAGATATCGCTGCAGGAAGAAAATGTTGCCTACGAGAAGGCTATATCAAATTGTGAAAATAAAATTCAGGAAAAAAGGCAGGAAGCAGATTTACTTCTGAGGAAGTTAGAGGTAATGGTTACCGTCCTAACTATGTTTCAGTTGCTGTTACAAATGTATCTTTTATCAAATATCAATTGTAGCAGTTTCCTCTGTGATCATAAACATGAATTTTATTTTCCTGGAGTTCTCCTTTCAGGTCTAAGTGTTATTAACAGAATACAAAAACTTTCCTGGATAATCTCAAGTCATTAGCGTTTGTTTTTTAATCTCTGTTCTTTCTTCAACTACAGGAGTTGGAAGAAACAACCAAGAATCTGGAAATTGAGCTTGAAAAAGCCCAAGCTGCTCTGGAAAATGACGAATCCATCAACTCTAAAAAAATGGCATCTAAACCTTCTAAAATTGAATCAGAACAAGATATGGAAGTATCAAAGTCTGCCTTGCTAGAAAAGTTAGAGATCAAGAAAAAAGAACTGGTCTGCTGCTTCACTTTGATTTATTATGGTCTTTCTTTTTAGACTTTCTCCCCTCTTCTCCATTTTCCCAAACAGTCGTTGCTGACAATAATTCTTTTATTCTTCTAAGAGTTCAATGGAAGATACAGTTAAACATTTAGAAAAAAGGTGGGCAGAATTTCAGGATAAAGCTCTGAAACAGCCATTACCAGGTATTTTTAATTGGTCAGCATGTTGCCCTCTTTATTCCTTTTTCAAAGACTTGATATCAATGACTTTTGCAGTTCAGAGAGAGAAAATGTTGGACAAACAGCTCCATAGCCTCATCGAGCAACTAGCTGTGAAACAGGTGAATCTTACATTGCTGAAGTCGAATACTTCAACTTTCATTCAGACAATAAAGTCAAATTAGAAGTATTTCCTTCCGTTTGTAGGCACAAGCTGAAGGTTTGGCTAGTGACATCCATCTGAAGGAGATGGAACTAGAAAAACTAAATGCATTATCAAGGAGGCTTCAAAGTAGCAGCAGTGAGGCTAACATCGCACGTAATCGTTTCGGAAGAAGCATGTCTGACAAGAATTTTTCAGACCACTTAGCTGACTCACTCCACAAACTTCCTTACCGCACCAGTGGTCGGACTGAGAGCCAGCAGAGGCTGATGCTACTCAGATCTGCTTTCGTGCTCTACATCTTAGGTCTGCATATCTTGGTTTTCATAAAAATTTCATTCTGAGCAACCATACTGAGATTGTTCTCTGAATATTCATCAGCATTTCACCTGTATGTAGTTATTCTTTAGATGTATAGAAACTCGATATTGAGCTACGTTATTTTCTTACTCATATCGAATAGAACATGCTGGGTCAAATACTCTTCTTGTAAAACCATGCAGCAAATCAAATATATGAAGAAACTACCCATATGGATTCTCCTAAACAAAGCAATTGAATATGAATCCGAAGCCAACTTATATTGAATCTGTTTATTGTCATTCATTCTCTCATTTAATATGCGGAGTAATACAAATGAACAGCTGTGAATCTGAGGAAAGAAAAAAAAAGTCAAATTACAACGTTGGCCTGAACTTTTAGAGCTATGTATTTAGTCTTAATAAGTTCCTAGACTTTCAAAACTTCTAATTTTATGTATTATAGACCTTTATCATTTAACACTGGCTAGGGATCACATTGCAGGCCGACTTTGGGTAGGTTCAGACGTTCAAAAGTGTAAGCGATAAATTGAAAAATTAAAAAAAGTTAACGGTAGAGACCTATTACTATTAGATATAAAATCGGAAGTTTTTAAGACTATTAGAATCTTTTTTAAAGTATTTGGAACTAAATGGACACAACTTGAAAAGTCATACTAAATAATCTCCAAACTTTTAAGGAATCAAAGCTAAAACAAGACAAAATACAAAATATGAATATGATGCAAACTTGTGTTGAATGTGTTGTTTATTGACATTCATTCTCTCAGTAAGAGTAATACAGATGAAGAGGTGTGAATGTAACAATAATAAATATAAAGAATCAAAACCACAACAAACAAGACCAAAAAAAAAAAAGAAAAAATGCAGTACTATATAAGTATAACAAAACTCATCTCTGATTCAACTCTGTTTGATGAGCAAACTGAGCCCTCTCCTGAGCTGATGTGATGCCTTCCATTTTGAGCATGTGAAGCAAGAAATCACTCCATATGTCAATGGGGCCAGGCAGGCACCAATGAACACAATCATTGTACAAACTCACATTCTCCTGTGGCCAATGCCCATATTTGCTTGGGTGCCCATCTGGTCTGAGCCACATGGCCTGTGTTGTATCAAGCAACCTGAATTTAAACCCCTTTTTCCTCCCTTCCCTCTCAGCTCTCCTAAACTCCTCCATTTGGGTCATATAGAGCTCCAAATTCTGACCCTCTAATGGCGACTCTTTGCTCTTGAATGGCTCTGTTCTCAAACAGTTTCCACCCTCATTCCACAGCCCATTTTCAAAGTGTGGTGGGGCAAAGGTTCTCATGTAGGTGATGCCCCTGTAGCTCTCTGAGCTCAGAATGGCCTTGAAGGCGGTTCTGAACGCCCTTCTGTAGCCGTGGTAGATTCCGAGCTCGGTGACGTTGTTGAGGAAGCAGTCGTGGCAGCCGATGACTCGGCCGTGTTCGTGGAAAAGCAGAGGGCGGAGAAACCATTGCCCGGCCGAGATCATCATGTAGTCGAATCCAGCCATTTGGGAAGTCCATGCTTCGTCAAACTCATCCAAGTATACATTGAAGATGCCTGTTTTTGTCGATTCTTCGGATTTTACCAGATGGGATGTCCAGAAAAAGGCCATTGTGAAGTTGTAGGACATGTATTTCCATCTCTTGAAGTGTTCGTCTCGGCCGGGTGAAACGTCGATTGGATACTCTAGCTGAAAATGAAAATTGATGAGTAATAGAATGAAGTAAATTTCACGCTATTGTGTGGTGTTTGTGCCCTTCGTTTGAACAAAAGGGGGAAAGTTTGAGAGTTTAGCACTCATTAAGAGATAGTTGTTTTGAATAATTTTCTAGTTAAGACATAGATCCTCAATAAAAGAAGTTAGAGGTTGAAATCGTTCAACTAAAAAGAATGTCTTGACCTTAAGTATGCAAAATGTCTCGACATATGTATTTGATTTTAAATTTATGTTTTAATACTTCGAATCTTTGTTTTTTATTTTTTAATAATAAATAGAAATTTTTATTAAAATGTATGGTAAATAAAAATATTGAAAGTAAAATTGAAAATTTTAAAAGGTAGGTAGAAAGTTGCAACCAACTAAGCAAAAGAAGAAGCATTATTTTATATAATTTAGTTGGTTTAATTTTTTTTGCTAAATATATCAAAGGTCCTTAATTTGTCCTAATCTTTAAAAGTTATCAATCATATTTCAAATGTATTAAAAATTGTCAATTACAATGAAAATTGATAACATATGGTTTCTATGGTAACAAATTAAAACATTGAACTAAAGTTGATACTTCTAAAATTGGTTTTAGAGTAGATTTAAATATTATTTTGATCCATTTTATTTATTATACTTATGACTTTAGTTCATTTCAATCTCAACTTTCAAATTCCATTTTGATCCTGGTGCTATTAAAAAGTGGGACGCAAAACAATAAACCAAAAAAAGTAGAAAAAAATCATTAAAAGCAATAAACATATTTTATTTCCAAGAAAGATTAGATTAGATGTATTGAGAAATTCATTGTTCTCTGTAAAGATTCTCATAATATTAAATACCTTATTTAGATCAATATCACATGGGTGTGTTGCGGGATTAATTGGTCTTTTTTTTTGTACGTTCACTGTTATTTTTTGTGGATTTAATTGAAAATTAATGAATCAAAATTCCCATAGGGTTAAGTTGATGGTTTGGTGTAAGAATTCATAAAATGGTCTCTATTTGTTATAATTTTGGTTTTTTCTTCTCTCTCTCTCTCTTTTTTTTTTTCTTCTGTGAAACATTTTTAAATTGTAGATGAATCATAGAAATGAGAAGATTTTTATATGATTTCTTACTTTTAAAATTAATATAAAATTACTTTTTAAAAATTTTATTAGAAAAAGTTTTTTTCCGAAGAAAAATCCTGACCAGTGACATGTTTTTATTTGCACCGTTAAAAGGATTTTACGATACGTCAATCGGAACATAATTCAATTAATTAAAAACACTAGTTGTCTTCTTTTATCATTCATAAAATTGAGTACACTAAAATTTTATATAAACATGAAAAATTAATTTGTTCGGGTAAAAATTTCTGTGATCGGTAATGATCACATAAAAATTAAGTGTTTGAAATAAAAATAGCAATTACAAGAATAAATTAATTCTTTACTGTATATTTTATATAAAATTTTAGTGCACTAGGTGGTGAATTTTTATGGGTGAAAAGGTAAGAGATGGTAATTAGTGTGCTTTTAATCCTGATGTACTAATTGATCCTCCGTTCGAATCTCCGCTCTCAATATACTAACAAAGGACTATACTAAAACTTTTGAAAATAAAGGTACCAAATCAAAAATAGGATCCAAATTGGTAATTTAACCAAATTAGAGAGAAAAAAGAGAGACTAGTTTTAAAAAATCAAATTTAGATTTTCTTTGTTTTTTCCAAAGGAAACTAAGTCAAAATTTCACACACAAATGTCAAAAAAGTGAAAAGAAAAAAAAAAGAAGGCAATAATTGAATCTAACCTTAGAGAGGAGGCAGATGAGCGACTGAACATGGTTCCTGGCGATGTTATCACCGACGAAGGCGAACGCCTTATTCCTCATGAGCTCCAGGAACTGCGCCGGATTGAAGGGCGCGAGATCGCAGGCGTCGGGGCGCCACCGCCAGCGGAGGAATCCGGCGTCGGGGCGGCCGTACTTGAGGC